TATATATATATATATATATATATATATATATATATATATAGCTGACAAATCGATCAAAAAGAATTGAAAGTTTGGGTTTGGAAGCTATGTAGGATAGAATCTCAGAAATAATGTACGCAAAGGAAAGCGTATAACATTCAAGGCCTCTGAGTGAATTCAAGGTCAGATCTTTGTTGCAATATGAACAGAACAACTGCATAGCATCTTCACATTGATTAGTATCTTTGTGGCAGTGCTGGATGTTCAAGCTTGGAGAAATTGTGCTAAGAGGCATCATTGCCATTTTGCAAAAATGGCTTCCTCTCTAACTCGAGGCGGTAGAGCGTAGAGGGCTAGGGATAGCAGCTACGCGGCTACCTAAAGATGCTCAATGAGCGGTTCAGTATGCCAGCACGCTGCCACCTACCTTCGATGAGAAAGAATCAGTGATCGACTGATTGTTCAATTTTTCAATTTCTCACTAGTTCACAAAATATTTAACCAAGCGCATCTTAATGGGTTTCTTTATATCTAGTGAGATCAAAGGCTCGCCTTGAATGGATTGGATAAAGCAGATCATCTTATACTCGGTGTGTTACATGCACGTGCATTGGGACCGAAATCTACAGCTTCTCAAGTCCAACCTTGCGGCATACCTCAAAGCATTTATCCAGAACTTCTCGGTGATGTACTGATGGCAATTACTGTTTTCGAATGCCAAATAAAATTTGTAGTGTTCTCGTATCATACGATGTGCCTCCGGTTTGTTCAGGCTCCGTTTCCCACAGGCACCAAAAATGTCAACCTGAAAGTAGTAAATAAAAGTAAGACAAGACATTACATCTCTGCCGCGCTCCTACAGGTGATCCTTACTCTCAGATAACGCTCGGCATCTGTTCCGGCTAAACGGTCCAACTACGCCTCTGAAACTACACCTAGCAGATATTGACATGGACAACAATGGCAACATCATCTTATAACAAGACATGACTACTTGTGGTATGCGTTTTCTCATCATATGGAATATCACACAATGTGATGTAACTGCCCCCGCCCCCATCTATCATCCACTAGACCACATCAGCTGACTGTGTGAACTATTCCTATACTAACAAGGGAAGGATACTTGGTCGCAGTGGCCATTCAAGATGAGA